CAGATGCTTTCGCTGAGTTGTCGATACATGCCCAGCTAACATACGTGAAGCCTGTACTGAACGCTATCCTACAAGGGAAGTACACCCCGGCAGGCAAGAGCCATGAGGCTTTCATGCGGGGAGGTGCGGCTAGATCCAGTTTAATGAAGCGGGCGGCGGTGAGAGGAGGTCTGGACCCGAACGAGGTTAAGCAGTCACAAAAACTGATTGCACGGTGGGCACTTGGAGAAGAGTATGCCCGTAGAACCAATATAGAATTCAAACCTAAAGCAGCGGTGGTACCACCCCCGGAGCAAGATAGCACACCCTGCCTAACTACTTTGGCCACCAATGGCGATGGGTTGGCAGACGCTGGCATCGAAAGCGAGATAGCTGCAACTTCCGATAGGGCAGACTGCAGCATCTCTCAGCCTATACCTCCCAGTGACGTTGGCAATCAGGTCAACGACACTGAAGCAATGGCAGTTAACAAGACTGAGACCGGAACAACAAACGAAACATCTGCATCTTCCGACACCGTGGTCCACCCTGACATTCCTCAACCAATACCTCCCAGTGACAATAGCAATCAGGTCGACGACCCCAATGCAAAGTCACTTGACAAGTCGCCAGACAATATACCCCCAACTTCCGACAGTGCGAGTCACAACATACTGTCTCAGCCCATACCTCCCAGCAATACTAGCAACAAGATTGATGACGATACCACAACAGTTGGCAAGCCTAGCCAGGTTGGCTCTTTATATTTTACCTTTGCATTTCTTTTGTTGATGTTTTTACATAGGCTGACGATTCCTCAGAGCCGAAGACGATTGATCTGCCTTCTACGCCAAAGGAGATCATTGCAGAGCAGGTAGGATCTATCGCAGTCTCCCGAGTTTCCCAAACCAGATGTTCACCTCTGATTGCAGCCGGATTCTAGCGATCACTCTAACTTGCCGCATACTGGGGAGGTAGGCTAGCTATATCGCAAACACCGCCCGGGATCATTCATCATTTCTACAGATTGACCCTGTGCCCACACAGGACCAACAACGGCCAGTTGGCTCGCAAGAATATGAATCACTATCGACCCTCGATAAACTGGATGCGCGTCTTATGTTCTGTGATAACCATTTTTCACTGATTAAAAGTTTGTTCATCTACAGTATTGCGTGAACATTCTTCTCCCTGAGGCAATCCAGCAGCTACTCCTGTGGCGGTCGGGTGAGCGTACTACAGCTGCTCTTCTCTCACACTCAGAGGAAGAAAGGCTGCATGAACGTGGTTCAGCAAAGGCGCAGGAGACAGACTGGGTATTTGACCTGCTCCGCCTGAGGGAGGCGCAGGCGCGGTTGTGGAGCGTGGATCTGAAAGCTAAAGACAAAGCGAAGAATAAAGGAGGCGAGGCCAGGGGTGGGACGCGTTCGCGGCCTCGCAAGACTACTGTACCGCGATGAGGAACTTCAAGGAGCATCTTGCTTAAGCTCGTTTGGAACGTATGGATGTAGTTTCGACATAGTATTCTGTGTTAATACGGGAGCTGTTTTTTCGATTCAAGGACACTGACTTTTCTGCTTTTCTCAGGTTGGCGTGTGTATGATAAACTAGTATATCAGTCCAGTATATGATACTTTAGGACACCCTGGAAAGGTACAGTGACCGATGCACTTGATATAGCGTAGGTAGTACGGTACAGCATCTCAGCAAAGCCGAGCAGCTGCTGAGCGAAAATTATGATAGTCCAAGTCGATGAAAGAACTGCCAGAAATTCATAGCAGGTCACTCGCACGCGATCATTCGGCATGAAACGAATTTATTACTGCCACGGTTCGTTGCCTATCCAATTAGCCAGATTGATCGTGAACGGTCGTGAAAGGATAACTTCGGGAAGCTGGGTTCCGCGCGGTGGCTGGCAGCGGCTGTGAAATTCCACCTCGTCATTTACATACAACCCTTCCTACTGTGTACGTCTTTGTAAAGTGGAGCGTCGATTGCTTTACCGCTGGGCCCTGGTCTATGCCACCTACGATATTCTCTAATTCTTGGCTTACTGCGCGCCGTTTTGGAATAGTTATTGACGCTGGCTCGTCGGGTTCAAGACTTCAGATATATAGCTGGGAAGATCCCGATTTCGTGCTTAGCGAGCAGGGTGATGATGTACGGGATAAATTGCCCAAGGTAGAGAAGGGTGTCCAGGAGGGAGATGAATGGATAATGAAGGCTGAACCAGGTGCGTACACGTCTGATATTCTGCCCATAACAATTCAACTGGTTCTGTTATGTAGGTCTTTCTACATTCGCAGACAACCCGGAGGGTGTCTATGAATACCTTGCGCCTCTACTTAAACATGCGCGCTCTCAAATACCTCCTTCCCTCGAGTCCGAAACTCCTCTTTTCCTCCTCGCTACTGCTGGTATGCGCCTTTTGACACCGGTGCAACAGGCGCGCGTGCTCAGTGCCACATGTAAGTATCTCAAAAGTGCCTCGAGCTTCCGGATAGAGGATGAATCGAAAGACGGTCCGTGTGGGTCCAGTGTACGAATTATCACTGGCGAGGAGGAAGGCTTGTATGGATGGATAGCAGTGAACTATCTCATGGATGGGTTTTATGGAAAGGACAAGAAGACGACTTATGGCTTTCTGGATATGGGAGGCGCTTCGACCCAGATAGCCTTCGAGCCATCTGACACGCTTTCGGGAGACAAGGAGAACCTGGTTGATGTCCGGTTACGACTACTTGGCGGAGACGAAGTCAACCACTCAGTATTTGTCACTACGTGGTTAGGCTATGGTACCAACCAGGCACGAGAGCGATACGTTGCGAAGACCGTCGAGCATTTCAAAGAGACTTCGCTCGAGGCGTCAGAGTCGTCATCCATACCTGACCCGTGCCTTCCAAAAGATCTGACACTTTCCGAGACATTGCCTCAGATTGATGGGTCGCATTCAACACATCTACTTGCTGGGACGGGCTCTTTCACCCAGTGTCTGGATCGTACTGCTTCCCTCCTCAACAAAAATGCGCCATGCAATACTGCTCCATGCCTTTTCGATGGAGTGCACGTTCCTGCCATCAACTTTACTTCCTCCCATTTCATTGGTGTTTCCGAATACTGGTATTCATCTGAACATGTCTTCGGGCTGGGCGGCCTATATGATTATGTGCAGTACGAGCGCGCTGCGACGCAGTTCTGCGGTATGGATTGGAGTGGTATAGTCAAACAACACGAGCTGTCGAGAGCGCAGGGTATGCGAGGCGGCGATGGGGAAGTAATGGAAAACGGAGAGGTCATGGAGGTCGGGAAGTGGGGCAAGAATGTGGAGCTTCCGAGGTTGCAGATGCAGTGTTTCAAGGCCGCTTGGATAGCTAATGTGCTACATGAAGGAATTGGGATTCCTCGGATAGTTGACCCGGAAGGAAACTCCACCACTATCGGTGAACAAGTGGCACAACAAGCTGAAGCAAAGGGTTTGGGAAGACCCATGTTTCAATCTGTCGATTCCGTTGGAGATATTGCCATTAGCTGGACGCTGGGTAAAATGGTGTTAGAAGCAAGCAAGGAAATCAAACCGTCTTCAAGCAGTAGTAGGCCGCTGGCTGATCCTATAGACGATATTCCTGCTAGTACACCCAACCCTCCTATCAAACCCATTCGACCGTTCTGGGATCTCGACGGGTTGTTGGAAGAGCATGTTTCCCCACATCTACCGGCATCTTTGACCCGCGAGTCTTTGGGATTTCCACCCATTACTATACTCTCCTACGCCATTATCCTCGTCGTGGTGGGCTACATAATCTTTCGCCTACGACATCCATTACGCGTTGTTCGGAGGCGTTTCTTACGCAGCTCATTTAAACGTGACTCGCATGGAGCGTACGCGATGGAGGAAGGAATAACGATAACACGCCCTCCGTCGCCTTCAAATTCCTCTTTTCTACCCCCGTCGCTGCTACGACCCCTGCGTCGCCTTGTGTCCTCATCGACATCATCATCACGTCGTCCGCGTTTGCCTCCCATCTCTACCTCACTTCAACCTCCATTGCTTCGACATTCTCAAACCTCGACACTCTCACCTCCTCCCTATCACAATGCTTCAGATGGGTTCAGCACATCTACTTCTACGTCGCATTCTCACTCTCGTGCTTCGTCACCCACGACTACCACCGCTCCTGACGACACAATAATGGCGAGCAGCAGGTCTTCGATTCCTTCGATCAACCCACGTTCGCGAAATTCATCGTATATGAACTTGACGCTGTTTCCAAGGCAGACACTTTCTCGTGCAAACAGTGTATTACAGCTACCTGACGAGTGAACTGACATTAGACTGGACCCAGAGTATTATTATTGCAGTTGACAAACACGGGGATATCTTATTATACTTGTGGATGGTATAATTTATACCTCGCGTACTTTAGTCGATGTACTTATGCAGCCAACTGACTTTTTTGGGACATGTGTACGTACGTAACTGCATAGTTAGTTCTTCGTTCAACGATTCACTCTCGATGGGTCTATCGACCAAATCATCTAAAACGCAGCTATGGTGACTTTGAGTCTCTTCGAATTCGAGTTAAATCGATAAATGGTATGCTGATATCTTCTATTCTTGCCCGTCAAAAAGTCAACACTGCCTTGCCTTGTCCAGCAACTTGGTTCGAAATAACTGGTGAGCCCAACTTCCTTGTCATGATAGTGGCGTCCTGAGTAGCAGGAAGCTCCGGGTCGGACATGAAATTTCGAAAACACAACTAGGAAATTTCGACTGCTGGCAAGGGGGGCAATCACCCGCAAGGGCCCCCGCTGGGCTCTCAATCGGATTTGCGGCTTGACCATCTTAAGGTAGGAATCACCCAGACTCCTTATAAAATTCGGTTTATTTTCGGACAAACCGCACTTGGTGTTGTTTGGTCTGTGGCTGTCGGGCGCACACCGTTGCAAACCTATAACTATACTTAGTTCCACGTGGTAAGTAACACTTACTACAATTCAAAGATAGGTTGATCTAAACTTCCATGGCAAGCACCCAAGACGTGTCGCCGACAGAGCTGCCCTCTGAGCGTGCTCCGCTCCTTCCAGAGCGGCAGGACGTAATAAGCAGTAAACGCCAATTTTCCCCGTTAACGCTTCTAATCCCGCTAGCTGTCGCGACACGACTTACTTCGACACTTCCTGCAACAACATTATTGGAGGTTATCCAATCAGTCATCTGTCGGCTGTGGCTCACGTCAAATGGCAACTTCCCACCAGGCGGGGAGATATCCAAGGATCTATGCGCAGTTCCAGAGGTGGAGAAAACATACTCCGCCGTCATTTCAGCCATTTTAATTGGCGATGGGCTTGCGGGTGCGGACGCCGCTAAATTTTCTGCTCGATCTAATGTCCAACAGCTATGATCGCATGCAGTATGATCAGCCATATTAGCTCTAGACTTGGAAGAAAACCGGTCATCCTTGGCGCAGTTGCCGTTAGCTTTTTGGCCTATTTTCTTATGGTCTGCTCCCAGTACCTGTCTGGATGGCTAGGAGCAACTTTTTTGGCCGGCTCTCTATTACTGCAAGCATTCGGTAATCCCCTGATTATGATGTTTATGGTAAACATCTACACCGTTGATATCTCCAGTGCTGAGGACAGGTAATGTATAATTGTGGTAACCAATCTTCTTTGTACTGACTAGATGCTCGAGATCACCCGTTTTGAGTGCCATCAATGGATGGGCTATCCTAGGTAAGCATAATCCTTTGCATTTATACAATCCCCATTAATCTACGTGAAAAGGCCAATCAGTCTCCTTTGCTATTGGTGGACTTGTCACCACCAAGACCAATAACCCGCTAATCGTATATTACATCTGCATTTTCGTTCTCGGGGCAATATTCGTCTACGTCTTAGCTTTCCTCCCCGAATCATTACCGAAAGAGAAACGGGATGAACTACGTCGCCAGCGCCTTGCTCAGCAGAATGTAGAAGCAAGCGCCCATCGAAGTTTATCGAGCCGCCTCATATCTACGGTAGCCATTGCGTTCGAACCTCTGAAACAGCTTGTTCCTGCCCGCAAGGAAGATGGCAGACGGAATTGGCGAGTAGTGTATTGTGCAATTCATATCCTCATCGCGATGGTTGCGGTCTCGTATACGCCGGTGGCCCTTACGTTGTTGTACACAACGAAATACAAGTACGACTCTGCTCAGGTAGGCCGAACATCAATCACTGGAGCTCTACACTTATACACGACTTAGACCGGAATGATGTTAACAACGCTGAGCTTGAGTGGTGTATTCTGTCTTACATACACGATACCCTCGCTGATTCGCGTATTGCGTCCGATTTACGCCAGGAAGGTTGTTCTTCCCGAAAATCAACAGGAGCCTAGCGATACTGCTGTATCTACGTCGACAGACCTTCTCGATGTCCATATCATCTTCGTCTCCTGGGTCATCGATGCTATTTCCTATATAATAGCGTCTGCAACGACGACTCATGTTTCACATCTCATAGGTGCGAGGTCTCAAAGGCAGCAATGCGTGTATTGATGCTTTGTGAAGCCGTGACCGCTATCGGTTTCAGCGCAGCACATACTCCCATCACTCGAAGTCTCGCAGTATCATCGGTCGACCCCTTAAAACAAGGTACGTATTTTGAAGCTGCAAACATCCGGTTGATAACTCGCAGATTGTGTTGGATAGGAGAGGTACTGGCTGCTATCGAGATGATGTCCAGCATTGGAGCCTTCCTCTCTCCTGTTGTCATGGGCAGCATTTTTACTGCGTGAGTCGATTGGTTTTCGATCCCACACTGTCTCCTTATTTCCTTGTTTAATGCAGCACGATCTCGAGTCAACCGATGTTGGTGTTCTATATCCATGCGGTAAGCAGGTCACTTGTATACGATGTATATCTGTTTAACGTGTTTATCGCAGGCGATCGTGATAGCGGCTGCATCGCTACTCTTTCTCGTCAGAGACTCTGATCGTTATCAGAAGCCACCACAGACACAAGACTAATGAAACTGTCAAGACCTTTACCATGTATTAGAGAAGGTGCACAGTGCACCGCAGTGGGCACGAATTGGAATTATAAAAGTTTTGTTCTCGCCCGTGATATTTACATGCCAAGTACAGGGGTACAATGTGACCCTCGGGTCTATCGTCCGCGGTGCCAGGTAAGTTATGAGGGTATCACTAGATAGATTCATGAGCCCGCGTGAAAGATGGTGCAACGCTGAGAAAGCCTAGTAACTTAATGCTGTCTGTTCATTATTGCTTGTATTCTCTCTCTCCCACCTTGCTCCCAATCATCCCAACAATGAGCGAGAACAACGGTATCCCTTGCATAGTCTTCTTCGTCAAGACTGCCCCGAGGCATCTCACGACCATTATGTACCTTGGCTTTGTCCTTGCCCCCAGGAAATACACGATGCCATTTCATAATTCCCTCCTTCTTGAAGCCCAGTCTCTCAGCCGCACGAATAGAAGGGGCGTTGACAGAGCTGCATTGCCACTGAACCCTTCGCAGCCCCAAACCGCCCTGAGACGGCACTTGAAGCGCATACCGCAAAAGAAGCCCAACAGCATTGGAATTAACATGCGTCCTTTGAAATTGGGGAAGGATGATGATATATCCGATTTCTGTGCATAGATTCACAGAAGACGAGTTCATGTAAGACATCATCCCGGCCAGCTCGCCTTCGTCGTCTGCTGTAGAGGGTGGTTTTGTTTTATCTATGATGGCGAATGATATCATTCCTGGGTCGTGGTGGACTAGGGTGTCGAGGAAGTTGGTGTTGAAGTCTTGGACGGTTTGGAATGGGCCGGCGGGCATGTGTGCCCATAGTTCTGGGTGAGCTGACATGATGGAACAGAGTGGAGAGGAATGGATTGATGCCTGTCGATCAGGTTAACTTGGTTATCTAGTGTCGGATTGTGTTATCGGCTTACTTTGAAGGGAGTCATCTTGATGCGTTCATTGGATAACTCCCGCACTGGGAAACAGAAATTGAGGTCCTCCGAGAGCGTCATGGTTGCAGAGTTAGATCTAGAGCTGACTAGATAGATAATTACATATGCATCAAGTGATGACTAGGACTGACTCCTTCCGTGGGAGAGCGCTGTCATTCACCACCTCACCATCGGACCGAAGAGAATCGCTCGTAATTCCCTGTTCACTCCAAGGCGTTCGGCCATAGTACACGGAGCATGCTGAGATGCGACACTGTGGTATGGAGTCAAGCACAGGAATGATTCACTGCCAGGAGTGGCACAGTCACTACTCGGAGCAACACTGTACTGTGCAGAACCATCTAAATTACTTTTTTTTAGGTTTCCATGCTCAAAAGGGCAACATTGACTGTCAGCTGCTGTTCATTGCTACCCGGAGCCGACATTGACCCACAATGAAATCGCGGCGAAAAGGCGTAGTCTCGACCTAACGTGTCCAACCATCGTCGTACCCTACTTTTGAAAGTAGTCAAAAACTCGTGATATAGCCAGTGAGTCGACTTCGTATTCTACCCCTATGATAGCACTGTTTTACATAAATCACAGTTCTCGAGCCCCTGAGTGTGGTTTATACATAGTCCTCAACGTTTCGTTTGATCGTCTATATCACATTTAGCAACTGCCAAGAAACTCGAACGGTTCGATCGAGGCGGTACTCCGAAGCGTTCTACATCTCGCACTGCCGCCGGTCGTCCTGCACCACCTCATTCGAAGAACTATTTTAACCAATGAAACGGGGTGCATTACACTTGGCTTCGACGATCAGCACGAGTATCAAGCACTGGCTCATGGGTCCCGCTTGGAACAAGCATCTACGTTTGTCGATCACCCCAAGCGAGTACACATGCTACAGACGTCAGCGGCGTCCTCTTCTCGTTGCACGCCGTCTTATCTCAAAACACCCCGAGGCCCGCTCATTTCATAGAACAGTTCTATCTCCCCCCCACAACTCGCGGCAAATCGCACATTGCACTCGTACACGGAAGGATCCCATCCATCCCTGCAAACCGCATGCATGGCTTGGCTTGACGGCGGACATTCCGAACATCCGAGGAAACATCCCTTATCCGCACCCATCCATCATTCATCTCTCGTATCTATGAAACCGCAGGGCGAACGTCATCATGTCTTGGAATAGTACCAGCCTCATCAACGTCATCTAGACCTTCATAAAACGAGCAGATTTAACAGTGTTTATCCCCTCATGATCATGATCGGATTCAGATCAGACAAATCATGTAAAATGAGCACTAGATAGAGTCTATCCGCACTCAGTTGGGGTGCGATGAAAGGTCACCCAGTCATGTGTCAAAGAGAGTTTGCGAGATGACAATTCATTTAACGGTGTCTTCGTGCTTCGTTCAGACGGAAGTTGGTGTATTAATGAATGACATGTGTATTCACAACTGTCTGCGGTACCACGTTGATGTCTGATTCAAAATGTCACAAGCTGTCATTATTGCGACGACGCTGCTAGAGAATGCAGAAGTTACATGAACATCGGAGTATCAGAAATGAGGCTACGGTACGATCATAAACGCCGGCAGAAAAAAAAATGAAAAATGAGTGGAAAATTAGCGCTACAGTGCTGTCAGTATCGTACAATGCGGGAGGCATGCATATGCATATGAATGCATAGAGTCTATCCAAAGTCTCAACAAAGACAAACGTAAAACAGTAAAGCATGCCAATGAAAAAAAAAACCTTTATCCCAGAAACATACGTAAATGTCACGACCGGTGTCGTATATGAACACCCGTGGACGTGTCTAAAGAATGGCGTCGTTGTAGCTTGGTCTTTGAGGAGAGCCTCGGGGCTCTGGATACTTTTGATAGATCAGACGCAAAGCTAAAAAGCCGGCTGAAAAACGGTCTCTTGAATCCCATGCTGCCAGATTGAGGAGACGATGGCGATTTAGTGGTCGACGTGGCCGTGTAGAGGGAAGGCACGGGGCCGGGCTGAAACAACCACACAATACAAGTCAGCCAAAATGAAACACAGTTACAACATGGAGAGATAAGCACTTTGCTGGTGACTTACCAAGACCTTCACCTTCTGGCCAGGGGTGGGTATAACATAATAGGTGCTGCCCGACTCGCAGCTATCACCCTCGCCTATCGGAGAAGGCGCTCTAGACCGATCTTCCCGTGAAAGGGGCCCTCTCATCCCATACCGTGCTTCTTCATGAATAGACGCGAGATGACTATGAGCAGCGGGGTATGGGGCAGGAGTAATACGCGGGTACTGTGGAAACCCTGAACCCGTGGGCGCAGACACAGTATACGTCATGCCTGGTGCCTTAGTTGGGGCATACACAATAGTGGGTGGAGCATAATGATCGGTAGCGTGGTGAGGTCCGGGTGCATAAACGATCGAAGGCGGAGGCCGATGTCGCGAATGCGAATGTGCAGGATGATGCTGCTCGTATTGTCGAGGAATAGGTTGCGAATGCGAATAAGTAACTGGCGGAGCAGCACTACCATGATGGCTGGGAACGTGTCGTGGCAAGGGTGTGGCCAGGATTTCTACAGCGTTTTTGTGGGGCGGGGATTGCAAGGGTTCGGGCCGGTAAGGTTCTGAAGCTCTGCGTGGCCGATATTTTTCGTTTCTCGAGTCGTAGGGAGTGGCGTGTGGGTCAGAGGGAAGGATTTGGATTTCTTCAGGTTCTAAATCTTCAGGGTCTGCATGATGTGCATTTCGTGCTGAGGAGTGACGATACCCTGTACTATGCTCGGGGTGGCGAGGACCCCGTACAGGATATACATCAGCAGCAGACCTTGAACGGTCATGTGCACGGTGGTGATGGCTGTGTTGAGGATGGGGATGAGGATGTGAACTGGAACTATGACTGCTCCCTTTGTGAGAGCCACCATTGTCATAGTGCCAGTGTGAGATAGGAACGTCGCGTCCGTCCCCATATTTCAACATCATCTTCGGAGGCAAAGAATGCGAGCTGCCGTTGTCTGAGGTAGAGTCGTCGATATCTATATCACTGACGACGGATGGGGGACTTTCGGGGGAATAGAACTGGGAATGGAATGGCGAGTGAGAACGGACCCAGTGCTCAGTACGTTCACGGGAGTTTCTAAAGACCTGGACAGCCTCTGGTGAGGTTGTATACTCTGTCATGAGGGGGTCGTCACCACCAAAATGTCATCAACCAGATAACCCTGCGCAGAGGAGAAGTTGGAATTAATGAACACCGAGGCGAAAGAAAGAAAAAAGTTGATCAAGAGCCGCTGGTTTTATATAATAAGGCTGCGAACCTGACTGAATCATCAGATCCCGTGCCAGTTACGAGAAGCGATGGACACTAGCCAGTAGGGGCTGGGATCCCAGCGTTATCCCAGCTGGGTTGCGAGAGATTTGCTCGCCATGATTAGACTTCTGCAAGCGATTTATTTCCGATCCGTCCAGTAAGAAATTTGCGGATTATCGGGAAATTATTACGCTTTCGTCGGGTTTGGCCATCAGGAAACGTGTTTACAGCGAGGCAGATCCAGGCCAGGCCAAGACAATTGCCATGTACGTCCTTCCCAAGTTCATCCACACAGCTTTCTCAAGAAAGGGAGAGTAGGACATCAAGCTAAACTTGTGCCTGGCAGGCATAAATTCTTAGCGATCCTGTGGGAGTTCCAGTATGTAGCACTGGAGGTGACATAATCCACTAGGTGCACCTTCTTTTCCGCAGCTGCACGGCTTCAGTTGACACACATCAATTCCTTCTTTACTTCCCAAACTGTCCACCTTGGTCTGTGAGAGCAAAATTATATCCGCACAGGCTGTGGCATCTTATCAGGAGTTAGAATGATGATAGCCGTAAGTATCCAACAATGACTTCCCAATCTGATTGCATCATTAATCACTCAGAGCAGGATCCATACAGCAGAGCCCATTAGTATGCGCACATAGCTTTACAATGATTAGGAAATACAGACCCAAAGGGTACTTCTCTCTCACATGCTTCCACCCTTGACCGTTCCGATATTTCCCAGCACGGTAACCAGAATAGAGGGTGAAGAGTTTTCACGCATGACTCGTATCGGTGCTGCGGAGGAGTAAGTCCGGAACCCACTGGGGCACAGCTGGACACAGTTATGGGACTGGTGTCAAGCGTAGTTCGAGCACAAGCCGCAGGAGTCGTCATGGATGAGGCAGGGATAACAGCAGGTGCAATAAACCGGCCCCCCGTCCGCCCTGTACCTGTATGGAAACAGGATTTTTTCCTCGTGGACGGTCTGTGTACCAAGCTTATTCCCATAGCATTTGAAATAGTACACATCTCGACGATCGTCTCGATCAGCGGAGGAACTGCGCCAGCGTGGCCATACGCCTTTATATGATAGCGAAGTCCATATCACAAATCCATGACAATCAGAAGAAGTTTCATCAACATTGAAAGACAGGGGTTCATCAAATTACCTGTGCCCCAGAAAGCATGCTGAAGCTCCACAATGGATTTTCCCGGTAACGCTCGCTCGTATGTAGCTTGATGAGTCTTCCCATTCGCTGACAACATTCACATCGATGGGTCATCGGTTGAAACTATAAAATGTAAAGGGAAGTACAGCCCTGCAGACTACAGCCACAGCCGGCGTTCATTTTTGGGTGAGCACGCTTCTGTAAGAATAGGGACCGCACGTTATAGCAATCGACGCCCAAGAAGTTTTGGAATATGGCGCCACGTTGGTGATTTCTCACCAATGCAGTGAATTAACTAGCGTACGCGAAATGAAACGCGATGAGATGCGACGACGGTGCGGAAATATTGAGCAACGAGCACGTGTGGACAGAGGAAGTGACCTTGAAATTTGCCCCGAGGCTCAGCGTTCATACGAAGGTTTGTGGATGTAGGACATGATCATGATGGTTTCCCTTGGATGAAGTCCCATGTCAGCACGGACTCGGCCGGAATACGTGCGCAGCGTGAGTGACTCAACGGAGTCTCCTGGCCTCCGTGGTACCGAGCGAGGTAAAGATGGAGCTTGAATGCTATCGTTCCTTGTGAGATATCTTCAACAACTCCGAGTCGCAGACCCGTATTCTGTGAACTTACCAGAAGGAAATTACAGCCTTGCCTCGAACTTCTGATGGAAGAACGTGGAAGCACTTAAATTTACAACTCCGCGAAGTTGCTGACCATGAAGAGAGGCCAGCACCCACGTTCTCGTGAGTCACATCTCGACTCTATTGCCTATTATTACTTGCATGCCCACATCTAAATACCGTATTGTCATCGTCAAACATCCATTATTATTGTGACACTTCAAAGCACTTTCTGGAAACGACTGGTAGTTAATATTGATCAGGGATTCGTTTCTTGCGGCTCAAATCCGATCGGGAAATACGTCGTTTGACTTTGGTGTTTGGAGTAGTAGTCGCCGTGCATGTTCCGCAAAAAAAAATGCCGAGGTGTAAGGCTATAACCTGATGGGCTTAAGAGTCCTATGCTCAAGGGCGGTGTCCGCTGGGACTCAAGAACCCAGGGCCAGGTTGGGTCGTTAAATGCATCCTACGGCCCGACAATGGTGCCCTGGCAAGGTCCCATGTTATCATCGCTATCATTGGGAGGCGACATATGCACAGTACACGGGCCCACCTAGATTCGTCAAGCGGGTAGCAATTTCGCGTAGTTACTCGTACTGAATATATGTGTTGTCATGACACTTCCTGAGGACTTGCTAAAGGATCAGGCGTGTCGAGCCTGCCTCAAGTTGGACACACGGCACGCCACATCAGCAATAATACTTCACCCATGTAAATTGTAAGACTCATCAAGAATAGGACCTCCGATTGGTAAGCATGGTGCCAGTATCATGTACGAGGAAAGACAGTTTCGCGCAGCTCATCCTCCTCTGTACAGTGCAGTACTCCGCATTTGGATGCATATCGCGAGTCGGGCGCCTCCAAAAAACGGCAAATCTCGTTGTTCTTGGAAGGTATTTGTGATAGATTCACCAACGTTCCCCTAGTGATATTGGTCAACTCTGTCTTCTGTTCCATGCGCAGGGTCATCCTCGGAGAAGCCAGAGAATGAGGGTCTACGCACGTTTGAGACTAATACGTCTGTCTCGTGTCCGAAACCTAGGAAATGTAATCAGTCATCCCGCAATGGTCTTATGCATACGTTGACGGCTGTGATACTTGTGCAAGAATCAGGTTAAGATCAGGGAGTAGCAGGCCCTGGCCGTTTCCGGTACTTACAGTGACAGGATTACACACGCTTTTTGATATTAAGGCTTCCTTCTCATTCACTTTTCTATCCCAGGGCAATGGTATAGCCAAGTAGGGACAAGGTACTTACAAGGTCTTCGAAGGGTATGCCGTAAGGCATACTAAACATAGGCTGTACCTGCCAAACCTTGATGCTAAGCTCTCTTTCTCATGCGCAGAGACTTACCTAGTCTATCGCGCAGCGGGGAAACTCTTGCCGGTGAAGCTCACTGCTCTGTCTTGAGTATTCTGACCGATATACTGCCTGCGCTAAGTGAAGATCTCTGCAGTCAAACTCGCAAAGTCCTCGGGCATCTTGGACTTAGAGTGAGGAAAGAGTTTCTGACAGAGGTTCTGGTCAGCAAATCGCGTCGCCATGGAATGTGGTGAAACAAAATACGAAGGGGAAGGACGTAATCCACAATAACTTCTATCATGACGGTGACCTAGAGCACACAACAAAGAGAGAGGAAACAACATACGCGAGGCATAAAGCACGTGTATCACCTTCTCTCGCTGTTGGAAAGCGGGGTCTAGATATCAATGAGCAAAAAGTCCATGGTTCATGATTATGACATTACCTTGGAGGTATGAGGGAGAGGAGGCAACCGGAGGTGATGAGAACACTGCCTCCAGCTCCGAATATCAATAAGAAGGTACCAATTAAGCATTCTCTTGTCTGAAAAACCTACAAGATACGTCAGAAAGGCCAGTCGGGATACGCCTGCTTGGTATTAGCTTACTAGGCATCAACACACCCTTTGCTCAAGGTGTTCTCCATAGAAACCATCCAAGATGTTCGTTGAAGGACGGCGTATATCAGCCATATTGGGAAGGCAGGGCCCATCACATTTGCGAGCGAATAATAGCTCATGCTATCAGTGCCATTGATTCCTGTCGTTTGGGTGACCAGCGAATAATGCAGGGATTGTTCATATTGTTGGCCAACCCAAGCTCACAGATAGACTGAGAGCGGCAGGTACCGGTAAAATTTTCAGTTAATATCGCTCCGGAGTTTCATGATGCACGTACAATTTGAAATCTGCGAATAAGATTTGAATCTATAGAGTTCTATATACTGATAGTGCGCTCCATCGCCTGCGCAGTTTCTGGGCCGAAATCCGAAACTGTCCTTCGACTTTTAGTGGTTACGCGCTGTTAGGATCAGGAAGAAATATATACTCACTGACCGGTTGAGCTATCAGCCTGCCATCGGAACGAATGACTATGAGACCCGCCGTCGAGGTGGTTCAAAGTTCCGCAAAGAAGGCATTGGTGCTGTGGAGGCGTCTTCAGCTATTTAATGATAACCCCCATGACAATATTCGTGCTCGCTTCAATTTTTGACATTCATGGATCGTCGATTAGATTCCTTACCTGTGTGTGCCCTTATCAATGCGCAAAATTGCACTGCCCGAGCACTGCATATCCTCTATACATTATTTGAACTTGAACTCCGATCAAGTCGCGTGCCAATAGAACGTCGAGCATCTTGCCGGGTGGCTGAATAGAATCCGGTGAGTAAGGTTCTTAAAGGCGTGATTTGAATGTGGCAAAACGGACCTGAAATCAGGTGCGGTGGCACGGGCCTACCAGTATTGAATGCCTGTGTGCTGTCGCGTCGGCCAGTGTTGGCACATAGGCGAAGATCATGGTTCTAGGTGAGTGCATTGCAGTCTGTCCCATCATCAGCCGGTGCTGAAGACAACGGTCGATTTTCTGGCGCATTCGATCGAGTATACCTTGACAGATGTCGTTTATGCAAGCTTGTCAGTTGGTCTCAAGTCTCATGCACTGTGAGTCTGTGAGACTTGAAAGCAGCTGACAAGTACACTGATACGCGCCGACTCCATTTTGGGGAGCATCATCAATGAAGCGCATACCTGACCAAGACGTCTCCCATGATCAAAGATTGGTTGAAAACATCGGGAACTGATTGTCGACTCGCAGGAATGGTGTGCACCAGAAATGCCTACCAGTGCGACCGTTGGGACCATCGCGGCCATGATCTAAGACGACTGTTGAGTCGCTTTGTCGCATTTTTGAGTTGAAGACCTCATACGAGCTTCTACGATGAACTGGAACGAATATTGTCCCATGGTTTGACTGTCAGTCATCTAGTAAAGCTCGATGGCACACAACTAATGCCCTTGTGGATCTGCCATATATTTCAGCGTTCAGTCCGTGACGCCTGTTGCATGTCGGAAGCCAATCACCCATCATTAAACTTGCTGCTCACCTTGCCCAGCGCGTTACACAAGTTCTTCTTCTCGTGTGAAAGCCGCTCTTTGATCACT